AAAAAAAAATTTGGGCGAGTTTCCCAAATCATTCGCGGTAGATAACGTGATAAATGGCTGAGCTACAAGCATTAACGGAACAGTCGATAGTGGCGCGAGGCCTGCCGACCCTTCGGGGTCTGTCGGTTTCTGGGGTCCTTTCCGGTGCCCCTTTTGGTTTTTTTTGTTTTCTGGTTGTTTGTATTGTTTTGTGTTTTTGTGCAGCTTGTTTTTACAGTCTGGCAACCCTCGACGCTTTCCGGTGTAGGGGCTCGTTGGTTGTCCAGATCTGACCACCGCTGATCTGGATTCCTGCCACGGTGTCCTGGAGATTTCACGCCATCCTCTCCCGAGTAGATTGAAGGGTGTCCCATAGCTGGATCGGCTGACCACAGGTTGCGCGAGTGTCTTCACCTCCCTTCCTCCACTGCATTAGGTCTACTCTGCCTTGTTTCTCCAGTGTGTTCTTTCTTTGTATGATACTCTTATCCCTTTGGATAAGCCGTATGGCAGTTCTTAATGCATTGCTTCCCTTGCGTTCAAAAAAAAAAAAAAAAAAAGCTCCTTGCACGACACATTCCTCTTCTTTTCTCTGGGAAACCAATTTTCTTCTACGTGCTATTTTTTGGGATATGTTTACATGTGATCGTAATATTCCACGGCACTTTCGGCAAATTTTGTTTGTGTTTTTCAAACTCTAACACATGCACCTTACCAACCCAATTAGTTGAAAATGAAACTTTATCACATTTTCGACCTGGATTTGATTCCTCGATTCCAAATTTGTGCTACTGTTATTCTTTTCTTTAAGAATAGACAATAATATGATTACAATATTACTTAATATATTATTTAATAAACGGATGTATTAAATATTATAATATTATAAACAAACACTTAAATAAAAAAATAATCATATTATAACATATTATAATTATAAATTTATAATACCACTTAATATTGTATTGATATTATTTTTGCGTTTGTCTTTCTATTCAAATTTGACTTCACTTCTTAACAGAGTCTAACAATTTTCTAGAATCCTGATCTATTTAGCTTAACCTATTAGGTGCAACAATTATTTCTTTATATCAGATTTTGTTTTTTCTAGATCCCCTTTTTCAACCCAAGACATCTTCGGCAAGTTTGATTACATTGACGATTCTTGCCTTATGATTTGACTTTTGACACTAATCTAGAACAGATATTTGCAGTTTCTAATTAATTTAAATTAGTAAATTCGACATGCTTGATTCTCTTCCTTTTCTGCAGGCTTCGGTGGAGATCTCATCACCTTAACTCGAAAAGTGGCCTGCATAACAAGGGAGAATGATCCACTTGTTCAATTAAGTAATCTGTTCTTTTAAATCATTCACGTTAAATTTCAAGTTGATTTGTCAATTATAATAACCATTTGATATGAATAAACAGTATTTTCTAACATGTATTTAAAACGATATAAAATTTTATTTTCAATCTAAAACTTGACATGCATATTTTATATTACTATAACATTTAATCCAACAGTTAGTTTCTCAAAATATTAATCCACACCACCCTTATATTGGTGTAAGTAAATATCGACTAAAAATCAAATATACATGGACCATTTCTATTTTGTTATACTCTCCTATTTTACTTTATTTTCGTGTAACAACTATATAATAGGCATTCCATTCAACTAATCATGGCCAAAGTGTTAAATAATAGTATTGAATGAACTCCTACGCACAACTAAGAGATCTACTCCTAGTGTATTAAGGTTAGCTGTATATTTACCTTCTTATCAGAGCCAAACTCAATAATATTTGATGGACGGAATCGAGCAGAAGAGTTTGGACGTATCCTATACCTCCTCCCGTCATTGCTGCAAATGTAAGGAAAATAAAATTTCATAATAAAATCTTAAATTCAAAAATGATAGTAAATAAATAAAGATGTAGGGAGACAACGTACTTAATGATATAGGTCCCATATTTGCTTTGTAAATCAGTAAGAAAGAATGCACCAACTTTGTAGCTGATACGAGCATGTGCATTGGATACCTGAGCATCAGAATTCAACAAGTTATGTTTGTTCTGAATAGTGCAGAGCAAAACAGCTTGGAAAATCACCTGAGGGGAACGTAAGGTTATCAAATATGTTCCTGGAGAATTCTCTTGCTTTTCACTTCTGCAGTCATCATTGATCATCAAAATACAGATCAGTGTAGGAGAACATTAGTCAAATTTTATTTTATGCTTTTGCTCAAAATTTGTCCTCCCTCAAACTCCCTTCCTCAACCACTATATATTTACTAGAGCATCCAGACACATTATAGACAGAGAGGTACATGCATACATAAAACATAAGACACCTTCATCTTAAATGCAAACAGATACCCAATTATGCAGTCTCTGTTCTCATCCCTACTTAAATGAATAGGTTCTGAAACAGCTGCTTCATTTCCAAACGGTAACAAAAACCAACTGCAAAACAAGGAGCAAAAATATATGAATCCAAGTGTCTACAACATTCATGCAACTAAAATCCACAAATAATAAAGAATTTAACACACGCACTCTCCATTAATAGATCGCTCTAGTGCATCGTCGTCCTCCAACCATCTCAGAAACTGATCATTTGCCTGTAGAAATTATTTACCAGATATTAGGTCCTTGAGCATATGGCAAATTTAGCAAGTTCTAAAATGTGATGCATAGCCATAAATGCAGGATCAATAGCATGCAAAAATGATACCTTTTCCGAGAGTCTGCAACATGGTGACCTGCCTTCAAATTTCAAACTGCAAAAGATGAAAGTGGGGATGATTTGTTTCAATAATATTTACATCTATATTTTGAAATTTTATGCCTTGGAAATCTTATGAAAATAAGTGAAGGCAGCTTGCATAGGGGCATGACAAGAAGGAGCAATGTTATTCAATTTCCCCCCTTTTCCTTAGTTTGAAACTTCATGTTTGCATCTCATGAAAGATAATGTTTGCCCAAGACTCAGTGTGCACAGAAATGGGTAATGGGAAAAAAAAAAAAAAAAAAAAAAAAAAAACAGAGAAAGAAGCAGGAAAATCCTAGAAATTGGGGATTTGCATATGATACCTAATAAAAGTAACAGAAGAATAATAAGGAAGATCTATAGTAGAAAGAAAGATTGTTGATATGTATTCCTCAAGACTCTGACAATCCAGAGGCAGAGAAATAGTAGAGAGAATCACAGGTAGAAAACGATGGATGTTCTGGACAATTCCCAAAACGAAACAGTGCAGAACTTAAACCTAACCTAGACAACAACAACCAATAAATAAAACAACATTAAGAAACCTAATCCTACGTGGCCACCACACCAGCTTCTTTTGTTTTCTACATATCAGCATAGGACTTCAAATGCAGAAGAAAAGCAACAGATAATTGGCATAGATTTCTAAATTGCCAAACCTTGATACTGGATGAAGGCTTTCATTAGGGAATTCAAGACAAGAATTGAACCATAAGAAAACAAATGTTTACAAGATCTAACCTGCCGCCACCAAAGACCCAACTGATGATTAATCTCATTGCTAAGTCAACAAGAAATCTGCAACCAACTGTTGCTGGATGTGGTATCCAAAATTTTTTCAAAAACTGCAAGGCAGGTCAAAGGCCACGTTGATTATGTATGAAGTTCATACAGAAACATTAAAACATCATCATGATTTCCATTTCATATAATCAACAGTTCCTACCAACAATGGACCAAGCCCTACATCCAAATAAGACATGTAATATGAAGCTGCAATGGCAGCCATTCTGGCCATTGCATGGATAATGGCAACTCGCAGTCTCCTATTCCTCTC